GGTGGATGGGTTAAATGCAGACTAACTTCGCCATTGTATGGAAACATAGTGATGACATTATTATTATTATTATATACAAGTAAATAATTTAACTCGGAGGCAGCTCAGGATCACGGTGGTAAAAATTTATTTTAATTCTGACTTTAATCTCAAATTTTGAGAAGTCAGAATTCTACAAAATGAATTTCTGCCAACGTGGCCCTTTAAAATACACTAGCCTAATCTTTTATCCTGTTAAAATTAAGTTATTTATTTTGGATTTTGCAAAAGGTTAAAAGGCAAAATGAATTAATTACTAAAAATTGTGGCAATCTGGGTAAAATTTAGCTCTTTAACTATAAAAAGAATAAATAAAAAATAAAGCAGACTTGCATCTATTTAGATAAAATGTATATTTTTAAAATTACTAGACCAATAAATAATTTTACAAACTGCAATTACCAGTATCTGTTTTTGCATCAAGCGTCATTGTGTTGGATTAGAAGCTCACAAACTCCACAACAACAACTAATAATTCAAAATAAAAATCATTTAATGATACAAACACATTTTGCTAAACATTACCAGGACTACTTCCAACTGTTCAAACGCTACATTGAGCAGATGTGAAAATTGTAACATCAGAAAGTTCAAAACAACATTAAAATAATCATCACGTTCAGCAAACAGCAACATAAGCAAAGGAGGAGCCATTTGGGTGTCCTGGAATATCTTCACGTAAAAGGAGAGGAGAAAAAAAGCAAAAAGTATATCACTTGCAGCGCCCGTCAACATTTAGTAGATGAACAAAACAAAAGAGATCGGATCACTAGCTCTGACATTTAAAACTGTTGCAGATCTCACGGTGTGCCAACGCACTGTAGTTCCAAAAGCACAGGAAGCAGACGAGGAAAAAGGCAGAGACCACGGGAAAGTTGTGGATCACCGTCTTTGGAGAAGGCGCGAGACGTGCAGGGCGCCCATGGGTCAGACGTCTATCTGTACTGGTAGCCCATGCCGCCGTCTCCCCTGCTGTAGCCTTGGCTGTGGTACAGACTGTGGCTGGAACCGAAGCCCTGGCTGCCGCCTCCCTGGGAGCTGTAACTGCTCAGGGAGTTGAAGCCTACGAGGAGGATGAGCAAAATTTAATGGAGGGAGAAAATATTGAAATTCATCTATGAATGAATAAACCCACCATCATAATTGTAGTCCAGGCTACTTCCAACACTTCCTGTCACCTGGCTCGGATAGGCCGTGCTGTACGAGTAACCACTGGTCCCGCCCTGCTGGTTCTGGTTGAAGCCTTTCTTCCCCTGTCCGTACTGGTTGTAGGAGCTCTGCCCGAACGAGCTGCTCGGCTGGTAGCCTCCGATGGATCCTGTAACCCCCCTTGACAGACCCAGGATTGTTGTCTGTCCAGACTTGGCCATTGGAGGTTTCTTTTTGGATAGTTTGTTAGCAGAGGAGAAGGTGTACGCTCCTTGGCTCTGGTAGTAAGACCCGTAGGAGGCTGGGGGTTCTGCTGTGCTGAACGAAGAGCCTATCGATGAGATGCCCGTAGACCCGGTTCTTTCAAGTGGACCACCATTTTTGAAGAAATCTATGGAATGGCAGCAAAGTCATAAAACAAGCAGTGTTTTTTTTTTTTTTTTAAGAAAACATGAAATATATATAAAAAACATGATAATTGTGATAAAACGTAAGGATCCAGGTAATTTTATACTTCTACTAAATTTTACTTTTGCAGCTTTGGTCACTTCCCAACTCTACAAGTTAAACTGAAGTTGAAAAAAAACAAAAACCCGAAGCGTTTCTGGAGCAGATGACAGGATTGTTTTGTGACCAAGGCTGAATGTTCATCAGTACGTTCCCTCCCACAGGGCTGTTGCATGATGGACCTTTGAGTTTTGTTTGTGTAATAACGCCTCAATACCTCAGACAAATATACAAATTTAAGACCAAACTAGACCTGAAAGGAAACATCTGGACAATTAAAAGATGTTTTTAAGGGCTTTCATTGAAATCAGTACATTTAAGGTCTCTGCATAACTTGTGCCACAACAAAAAAATGTTAAATCCGGTGTAAATGTACCGGTTTCTTTAAGTGAGAAAGGTTTCAGCCCCATCCAGAGGACTTCATCAGTCTACAGCCTGCCAACTAGATCTGTCCCAAAGGTACTCTTCACTGCTGTTTCAAGACAACCTGTTGTAATCTCAGAAGTAACCTTTTCACGTTAAAAACCTAGTTTTGAGATTCCAACAGGCTAGCTTGAAAGAGACCTGGTTGGCAGGCCGCAGACTGAGGAAGTCCTCTGGATGGGGCCGAAATGTTTCCTAAAGAAACTGATCCAGATGACACGATTTAACCTTTTTGTTGTCATCTACCTGATTGAGCTTACAACCTTTTCCATGTCATGTTTGTGTGCAAAAACAGCACCTGTAATCACCTCGACACAATTTGTCCCTAACGTAGGAGTTGCCCTGAGATTATTTAATCTGGATACACGTTGGAATCAAAAACAAGCCAATCTGGACTAGAACTGTGCCCTATAAGGCGTCATAGTAACAAACTGAACCAGCCATGTGTTACCTAACTGAGCCTGAAGGCACCTCGAGGCGTTCAGGGCTGTAACCTCGCATGGTTTCTGAATGAATCCAAAGTTTGAATCACACATCCATCCATTTTCTTTACCCGCTTATTCCATTTTGGGTCACGGGGGTCGCTGGTGCCCATGTCCAGCAATCACTGTGCGAGGGGCGGGGTACACCCTGGATGGGTCGCAAGTCCATCACAGGGACACATAGAGACAAACGAGACAAACAAACATTCACTCTCTCACTCACACCTAGGGACAATTTAGAGTTACCAATCAGCCTAACATGCATGTTTTTGGTCTGTGGGAGGAAACCGGAGTACCCGGAGAAAACCCACGCATGCACGGAGAGAACATGCAAACTCCACCCAGAGAGGCCCCTGGACCGGGGTTTGAACTAAGGACCTGCTCGCTGAGAGGCAGCAGCTCTACCAGTTGCGCCACTGTGCTGCCCGCTGAATCACACATTCAACTCAAATCGATTCGACAATTTATGGTTGCTTAAAACACAAAGAGGCCAGTTGTTCGTCCTCTACTGCACCGACAAGTCTGTCCTGAACGCACATCTTAAGCACCGTAACAGAGTGACGCCTGTTTCTGCAGGAGTGACCTTTATTCAGCTGTTGGCAAACAAACAAAATGTAATCATACAAGTTATATTCATCCAGCACCTGGTGCGTGTGACTTAAGCACGATGCAGAAAAATGAGCCGGGGGGGAGGTTGACAGAAGTACAAATTGATCAGCACCTGACAGCACAGTAATGTCACATTTATTAAAAAAGCAAAACAAAAAAGAAGAACATATAAAAACAGATGAGCTTTACATCTTCAAACACACACAGTTGTTGCTTGAAGACAAACTGGAAGAATTTATCAACGCTGCAGTTTCTCTGTGTTTTATGGTTCCTGGAACATCTAAAAACTACCAGATCAGCGCCATCATGCAATCAGTGCACCGATAGTAGTAATATGAGAGAAAGAGCGAATTTTATTAAAACAAAATAAAAAAAAGAAGAAGCTATGTTTTCTAAAACTGGATAAAAATATACAAAAATCATCTTTCATCTGATGGATGTAAAAAAAAGAAAGAATCAAACTACACACAAACATCTACGAGTTTCAGCGTGTCCTTTTTAAGCTAAGCAGCATGGAGACAGACGTCCTCCACGGCAGTATGTCCATGTCCCACAGGTCGTGACCTCATGTTCAAGTAAAAGTCCGTCGACAAACGAAGACCTTTGTGACCAATCGGTCCTGAAGTTTGGAAAGCTTCACGTGTTTCAGAACATCTACATCAAGTTGATGGACCAAAAGATGTACACATGCTACACGCATGCAGCAGAAGATCGACTCCCCGAGGTTTCAGGACGTGGAATCGGCAAGACACGGCACAGGTTTGTTGTTACTTTATTCCCAGGTTGATGGTGAAGGAAGTTCATGATCCAGCTGGAACACTACTGAGGTCTACTGTCCGTTTTAATCAGGACTACAGGACTGTTTCTAGTTTTCTATGACAGGGGGACATGTCCCAAACTCGTGGTAGTCAATGCAGTCTGAGACAAAGTCACCTAAAGAGTGAGACAGGGCAGAGAAAGAAAAAATATATCAAAATTTATAATAATTTTGTATGCCTTAAAAATCTGGCAGGCCAATGACACTTTAAATGATTATTTTTAGATTTCTCTGCTCCTGTCACGCTCAGGTACGACACTCCTCAAAGCAGGCTGCCAGAATGAAGAAAGAGAAAATTCCTAAGAAAAGGTTTGTGAAAAGCCGATTCAGACCTGTGGCTGAAAGCAGAGAAATGTAAAATGACTCGGCTAGGTGAGGTGCTCAATGTGGAATCAGAGATGCACCGCAGGACATGAGAACATCTCTGCCAACACAGAGGCTGGAACTAATCGCATTGGAAAACATTTACAAAAAGTGAAGGTTTATCTGCACAACAGACAAAAAGCTAAACCAAAACAGACTCAAGTTAGAGACAGAACTCATACTCACTATATCCAGAGTCAGTGGTGCTCCCATAGCCGTATGTCCCAAAGCTACCTGCAGGCAGACCACACGGTTCAGTTGCAGCGTGAAACCTTCCGGGTCTGTGGAAGAAATCGAACGTCTGGGTTTACCTCCTTGGCCATAGCCTCCTCCATTATTGAATCCCCTGCCTCTTCCACGACCACGTCCTCTCCCTCTGCCTCTGGGGGCGCCGAGGTCCCCGCCTCCCATCATGCCATACCCTTGAGCGTGCTATGGAGGAAACAAACGTCACCAAAGTCAAACTGAAATTGTGGATTTTCCTGCTTTTTATTTTTTTTAGCAGGAAATCATTGGAGTGATTTTAAAATTATTTGTTGTATCATTTGGCAGCAAAAATAATAACTGCATTTTTAGTTTAATATGGTAAAACTGTGAAATAGTGATTTTTTTTTCTAAGGTTGTCATACCCTCAGAATCTCCACCATCGATTACAATTAAAGAGATAATTGGCTGAACTATGACTTTAATACTACTGATTAAAGGAATCAATATGGAATCAACCACACGCAGCACGTTAATTCGCCACAGTTCTTACCTTCTTCTTCTTTGGAGCCTCAGGTGTAAAACCTTCAGGAAAGAGCTGATCCAAAGCAGCCAGGGCTGCATAGGCCTTTGCCACCTTCTTGTTGGATCCAGTGCCCTGGAACTTCTGCCCATCAATGTCCACCTCCATGATGAAGCGTTTGTCGTGACTCCCCCCAGTCTCTGAGATAAGCTCATACTTGAGGCCCCGCCTCTTCTCGTTCAACTCCATTACAGGGTTTTTGCCATGTTTAGTCAGAATTGGTCCCTGCTGGCGAGCAGTCTGATACAGAGAAGATATAAAAATGAGAACGATCGAGTTCAATTATTCAGCCAAAAAATGTAAACGTTGCTCAACGGCACCGACCTCTCCAGCTTCTGTTTGGTCTGTGTTGGCTGTGCCTGTGGCAGCCACAGGAGCGTCAGTCTGCATTGCTACTGGCTTTGATTCTTCCATCGTGGTCACTACTTCTGTTTCTTCCATCTTTACCGTTGGCTCAGGGGTTTTGATTTCCATTCCTGTGGCAAGGCCCATGTCCTGTAGCACCTGAAACAATAGACTGTGGTTAAACTAAGCTCTGGTCACGATGGCTCAAGGTGTTGCAGTAGAAACAGTGTTGGAAAAGCCTGAAAGACTAATTTAAGATGTTGCTGTGAGTGATCTGCTCACCTTAACAGCGACATGCAGCTTCGCCGTGCGTTTGGAAGGACCAGAAGCCTCAAACGTTTTACTGTCCACCTCTACAGACATGGTGAAGACTGGAACATGAACTGGCCCAGTCTGAGAAACCAGCGTATACTGGAGACCTGGTTTCAGCTGATTCAGCTTCATTAGGGCATTCATAGCCTGAGGGGGTTCAGCCTTCTCATCTGCAGCTGGGGGGGGGGGGGGAAGTATTAAAACTGCCAATAACTAAGCATCAGTTCCCTAATGAACCCAGTACAATCCTTCAAAAGAACATCTCCAGTGAGTAATCAGCCATCAGACGTATTGACGTCCTCTTCAGTTTATGTAACTTGGACGTTTAAACAAATAAAAAAAAACTAAATGGACTCTTACATTTTTTCTGCACCTTCTTCTTCTTTTTATCTGGCCTCTTATCTTCAGTTCCCTCCTCTTCCTCAATGGGCCTTTTCATTGGTGGGAGGTATGTTGTGCTTGGTGGGATTTGCACTGGATTAAAACGCACAGTTTATTAATGCCGCAGCGATAATAAATACAAATGATAGGCAGGCTTCTATGATGGCATGCAATATATAATAACTATTTAAACCTGACAGGTGTCTTACCTGTGTAGTCGATAGGAGTCTCAGTTCGAACTTTTTTGGGTATTTTGGATGGGAGGGGATCTATTCCAAGAACTTTGTGAAGCTGTCCAAATGCCGACAGTCTTAGCGCGTGCTGCAGGGAGGAGCGACGCAGCATGAAGATCCACACGTTGGATAAACTCTGAACGGGAACAAACATTTATTATACTCACCTGAGCGCTCATTGTGATGTCTTCTCTCTGCTGCTTGTCCACATGAGCAATAGCATCGGTGGGATCCTTCTCACATGGATCATAGAGCCCAGGACCATCTGCAGCATTAAGGAACAACCGTTCAGGTACACAATAAATAAATGGATATTTAAAACATTCTGAAGATTTTTTACATATCGAAAAATAGCACTTTGAACAACCTCACTTTGTAGAAAAATACAAATGTACGACATTTTATGATTTTTTTTTAGGCAAGCACAAACACCAGCAGCTAGCTGTAGCACTTCTGGTGTAGCCTAGAAGAACTTTCTACATAAGTATAAATAAACTTTTTCCAATTATATTTTTTAAATTAAAATAAGTAGATAAACGGTTTAATGCCAAACTGTTTGAGGTGTGAAGCTTTAAATGTCTTTTCTGTTTGAATTGCTTTAAAATGTTAAAGACTATTGTAATTTGATGATAAAATGAAGAAAGGAATAAGAACAATATTTATCCCTGAGGGAATGTTAGCAGACATAAAATAAAATTTCATGTTATAATAAAACATTAAATATATATATATCTGAAATATTTCAAACCATTAAAAACTGTTTATAAACTACCCATTATTTGTTAATATGGCTATATATTATATATTCCAAGATTCTGATTTGTTTAGTTGCAAAAGTACTATGACAATTTGGACAGAAGTACAAAAAGGTTGCATTAAGGTGCTACAGCTAGTTGCTGCTGTTTGCACTTGCATAAACCTGTAGAATTACAAAACAAGGATTTTACAATAGAGTCAAAGTGTTTGCTATGATTTGTTCTTTCAATTTTATTTTTATTTTACTTTAAAATGGCAGCAATTCACTTTGGTTTTGTCTTCTCTACGTACAATTAAGATAAAATGTATCTTTTTTTAAATTCACACGCATAAAAGAAAAACCCTCACTCTGAAATGTTCCAAATATCTCTTTAAGATACTATGCTGCTGTAAATGTGCCATCAAATGACATTTGCGTACCCAGCAGGAGGATTCCTGAAGCCACACACTCCAGAACTCTCCGCAGAGCTTCACCTGCTGCCATGGGCCGGTTTCCTGTGCCAATTGCTTTCTCACAGATCAGCTCCAGTGGCTGCGAAGCAGAGAAGACTCTCGTTTAGGAATCTACATTTAGGCACAGCTCAAACAAAGGTTGTGTTGTTCAGCTAAATGGTATTTCTGTTTAACCATTAAAGAAAACATCTTATACCCAGTACATTAAACAAACTTATTAGTTAACATTCTTTGTTATAACTCACTAGGGGTGCAGAAAAAAATCAGTCCAATAAAGATTCTACATTCTTAGTCCTGGTGAATCTAAATCGATTCTAAAATGCATTTGTTTTATTTTTTTCCGCTCCTACTCCCGAGTGTCCTGCATATCGCATTACGTGTCCACCTAGCTGTCACCATAGAATTTGGCCTTGTAGGCCACCGTACAGTTAGCCAGCTGCCTTCATCTGAATGGAGCCTGCTAGCATGGAGCGGAGGACAGTGCGATTCAACCCTCTCCTTTGTCTTTAACAATCATTTCAGATCCTACAATGTTCCGGGGGGGAACAGAGCTCAACAAGAGCACGGTTGTTTGCAAGAAGTGTAAAATAAAACTGTGGTAAAGTATTTTGGAAATACGACAAAATGCATGGAAGGAAGATGAAAAGCAGTTTAAGCAAAGTTTAATGTACTATGGTAGGGTGAAGTCTGTTCACTTTTGTATTTATATATTTTGAATTTGTCTGAGATGGACTGGAGACCTGTCCAGGTGTCCCCCGCCTCTCACACAGTGATGGCTGGATATGGGCACCAGTGACCCCTGTGACTCGAAAAGGAAGAAGTGGATAAAGATGATGGATGGATTAATTATTTGTTCCTAGATTTTTATTTTAGAAAAATCCAGGCAGCTAACCTATTCCTGGTAATTTAAGTTACAGAATTTTATGTAATCCTATATTTGTTCCTGATTTTGGTATACATTAAAATACTTGATACAGTAAAGAACCTAAAATTATAGTTTTAAATACAGTGAGGAAAATAAGTATTTGAACACCGTGCGACTTTGCAAGTTCTCCCACTTAGAAATCATGGAGGGGTCTGAATATTGTATCTTAGGTGCATGTCCACTGTGAGAGACATAATCTAAAAAAAATCTGGAAATCACAATGTATGATTTTTTTAATAATTCATTTGTGTGTTACTGCTGCAAACAAGTATTTGAACACCTGCCAATCAGCAACAATGCTGGCCCTCAAAGACCTGTTAGTCCTCCTCTAAAATGTCCACCTCCACTCCACTTATTATTCTAAATTAGAAGCACCTGTTTGAGGTCGGTAGCTGCATAAAGACACCTGTCCACCCCACACACTCAGTAAGACTCCAACTACTAACATGGCTAAGACCAAAGAGCTGTCCAAAGACACCAGAGACAAAATTGTAGACCTCCACAAGGCTGGAAAGGACTACGGGGCAATTGCCAAGCAGCTTGTTGAAAAAAAGATCAACTGTTGGAGCAATTATTAGAAAATGGAAGAAGCTAAACATGACTGTTTATCTCCCTCGGACTGGGGCTCCATGCAAGATCTCACCTCGTGGCGTATCAATGATCCTAAGAAAGGTGAGGAATCAGCCCAGAACTACACGGGAGGAGCTGGTCAATGACCTGAAGAGAGCTGGCACCATTGGTTCCAAGATTACTGTGGGTAATACACTAAGACATCACAGTTTAAAATCATGCATGGCACGGAAGGTTCCCCTGGTTAAATCAGCACACATCCAGGTCCGTCTTAAGTTTGACCATGACCATTTGGATGATCCAGAGGAGTCATGGGAGAAAGTTATGAGGTCAGATGAGACCAAAATAGAACTTTTGGTCTTAATTCCACTCGCCGTGTTTGGAGGATGAAGAATGACGAGTATCATCCCAAAAACAATGTCCCTACTGTGAAGCATGGGGGTGGAAGCATCATGCTTTGGGGGTGTTTTTCTGCACAACAGGACGACTGCACTGTGTTAAGGAGAGGATGACGGGGCCATGTATTGACAGATTTTGGGGAACAACCTCCTTCCCTCAGAACATTGAAGATGGGTCGAGGCTGGATCTTCCAACATGACAATGACCCAAAGCACACAGCCAGGAGAACCAAGGAGTGGCTCCGTAAGAAGCATATCAAGGTTCTGGAGTGGCCTAGCCAGTCTCCAGACCTAAACACTATAGAAAATCTTTGGAGGGAGCTCAAACTCCATGTTTCTCAGTGACAGTCCAGAAACCTGCTGATCTAGAGAAGATCTGTGGAGGAATGGACCAAAATCTCTGCTGCAGTAAACCTGGTGAAAAACTACAGGAAACATTTGACCTCTGTAACTGCAAACAAAGATACTGTACCAAATATTAACATTAATTTTCACAGGTGTTCAAATACTTATTTTCAGCAGTAACAAACAAATAAATTATTAAAAATCATACATTGTGATTTCCGGATTTTTCTTTTAGATTATGTCTCTCACAGTGGACATGCACCTAAGATGAACATTTCAGACCCCTCCATGATTTCAAAGTGGGAGAACGTGCAAAGTCGCAGGGTGTTCAAATACTTATTTTCCTCACTGTACATGTTGTACACGTTTACATTGTTGTTTAAATTTTCATCTTGTCAGTTACATAATTTAAACTAAATTTATGACCATTTCAATAGTAAAATCGTTTCTAAATGGAAAATCGATTTTGAATCGAATCGTGACACCAAAAATGGGAATCACGTCGCCAGACTCGCAGCCCTACAACTCACCCAGCCACGAAGCGGGGCCCATGCAGGGATGCGGGTGCACAGGTCCCTTAAGATCCGGATGACAATGACACAGGAGCGCAGCCCGTTGGCCCTGGCCTGGAAACACATGGAGGGGGTGGGAGGGAAGCGCGAGGCAAACGAGCAGTTTTAGTCACAACAAAAATAAATAAATAAAAACAGAATAAATGACTAATAATTGCCATGAGCAACACTAACAATCAAATCAAAAAAAGAAATTCATGAACATGATGCCACAAAGACTAGAACAGCTTTAGTTGGGTCATTATGAAAATATCCAGAGATATTAGATGATTTGTTGTGGGACATGGCCGATTATTAATAATCAGTTGTGAACCAAAAATAATTAACAGTGTAGTTATCACGTGTGTAACAGTTCTGTATGTGCAAAAACATGCGTGTAATCAAAATCAGGACAGAAGAAAGGAATAAGACCACCTCAAACTCAATACTAGCTTTAACTTGAGAAACGTCAAGAAAAAAGGGAGCTCACGAGTGCTGTCACTGAAGGTAGGGGTGTGTGTGTGTGTGTGTGTGTTGGGAGGGGGGTGTGAATCAGTTAATGGAAATTTTAAAAAGTATCACTCAAGGTGCAATATTCCCAATGATGTTGTGGCACACTAACAGAATAGAACAGCCAAAGAGCAGGAGGGTTTGACGCCACATATTCTACACTGACAAGCTGCAGAGATGGAGCGCTGATCGTTACAGTTTGGAAGCTGAAGATGACACAGGCGACAAACTACTGAAAACACGCTCAACTACAAGAACATTTTCTTTTAAATGACCAAATGAGGCTGCAAAAAGTGTTCCAGAAGTAACTTGTATATAAAAATACAAAAGAAAAACAACCCAAAGCAGTAATGACTACAGAAATATTGCACCTGGACACAGGGCGTATTAGTCAAAGATTTTTTTGATTCAAGTTAAACATGTGTTGCATTAAATGATAAAGAAGTCGGGGGCTAAAAGCAGCTATTTTCATTTGAACAGATGTTACCGCTAAAGAACCTTTAAAGTGAGCAAAGCATCTGAGAAGCAGTGTGATGACAAATGTTTCTTAAACACCCAGGTCATCAAATAAATACTACAGGAAGTACGCCTCAAAAGAGGGAAAAAATAAAACACACAAAGAACTTTGAAAATAAAGTACAAAAGAACAAAAAGCATAAAACCAAACTCAAAGCTACTTCTGTTTTAGAGACAAATAAAGACAAGATTCAAACCTGGAACCACTTAGCGTGGCGTAGAGAAGCCAAGGCAGTTAGGCATTTCTGCCTGTCCAGAACATCCGGGGGATCGATGACTGAAAGCGTTTCTATTGGCAGGTGGAATAAGAAGACAAGGTACAGTTTGACCAAGGGGAGTTCTGTCAGCCGGCCAGGGGGACCACAGGCAGGAGGGGGAAGGGGAGGGGACCCCTCCACTGGAGAAACGCAAAATGCTCTCAACCTCCCACTAATTATCTTGTACCAACTTGAACACAACAATGACTGGCTGGGCTATGTTACCTTTAGCTGGCTTAGTAAAAAATAAAATAAAAACAAAGAATAAATAAAAAAAGGAAATAAAGGTAATATTAATGGTATCAAACGGGAGGTTGTCTCTCTAAAGTTGCTTCCACTCAAACAGCTGCTCAAGTGTCGTAACTTTTTCTTGTCTGACGTTAACAGGAGGTAGAGCCCCCCCCCTTGGCCCCCTTACTGGGTACACTGCACTTTGCCCCTTCCGAGACAGAGAGCGGCCAGTTGGTCAAAGGTCCAGCGTCCCTAAAAATTGACAAGACTAGAAGGCTTGACAAAGAGAATCAGAATTGGAACCACAGGTAGAAATGATCAGATGCACAAAAGGTGGGTACCAAACGAGTCCACACTGCAGCAAAACTGATGGCTTCACAAAACAGACCCAAACTGGGCGGCGCTCTGAGCGCAGGACTACAGATAAGGTCAAGACTCCTACTGAAGCAGAAACCCTCACTGTTGATGAGCACTCTGAAAAGCAATAAAGGTTTTATTCCCTAGCTAGAATCATGATAAATTATTTTAAACTTTTAAATGCTTCAGTTATCTTTTCCAGTAAATGGAGACCAATTCCTGCAGTTGAACATACACTATGTGCCAAATGTAAGGTTCTCTTGTCATTATCTGTAACCCCGGGCGTTTCCTGTTGAGGAATATTAAGGACAGTTAAAAGCCCAATGTCGGGTCAAACAAATACTTTCCTCAAGAGATTTGCTACTCATTTTTGCTGCAATGCAAACTGTTCATCATCATTGATAAAAACACATGCAAACACAGTGGTCTCTGGTATTTTTGGTTAAATTCTCAGTGAGCCTTCATTTATCAACACCTGATCTTCAAAAGAAATGAAAACTATGTTGCAGTCAGTAGGCTACCTGCCCTATACTGTATATTGGGCCATCAAAAATGTACAATTAATTGCGTGGAACTACGAGAGTGTCCAGAGTGCTATAAACATAGCAAAATGAGTGCATTCTTGTCCTCTAGCTCCATTGAAGGCCCAATAAACAATATCTGTCTGGCCTCATTGCTGGCTCCTTGTTGAAAGGAGGACGCCACTAAAGTATGGTGTTAAGGTTCCTGTGTCGGGGGCTTACCTTCAGCAACAGCCTTTTCCATCTCCTCACGAACCAAAGGGGAGGTCAGGTTAATCGTGAGGTTGAGTGGGGGCTCCTTCGTTTTTTTGATGATGATGCTGGCGTCACTGATGTTCTGGGTTACCTCATACGTGTCCTCCGCTAAAGTCTAGGAAGGAGAAACACACTTATTTATGTTTGTACAAAATATCAGATTTCAGTTTCATGTCGTCACATGGCTTCTGAAGCTACAGAAAACAATTCTTACAGTCCTAGAGAATGCAAGCATTATTGTTGAAAGGTTGTATTAAATAGTTTTTTTATTCAGTCCTTTCTGTGTTTCTGGAAGCATCTCAATGACTCTTGCCATGTTATGTAGCATTACCATCTTCATTCTGCTTAAAAAGATACATTTAATTATTCAAGGACAGCTAATTTTAACGTAAATATTTCACTAAAATCCAGAGAAACACTATTAAAAGTGACAGAGAGCCAGCACAGATGTGTCTCAGTTTATCCCTCCACCAGCCCGATAAAAATAAAATCACAGAAGAGATGAGCCCTCTGCCAAGTTATCTAGGGGAAACTGTTGCTACAATACAGCTGAAAATGTTGCCAATAAAAGAGTAAATTGTCTGATGCACTCCAATCTGGATGGATTATATATTTGTCCATTCAACAACAGCAACAATAATAAATATATCGGCTAGACTAATATTCAAAATGCAATGGTTCCCCCTAGATAACCTTCCATGGCGGGGTGTTCATCTCGTTCATCATTTTTGTGTATTGCACGTTGCTAGCTTAGCACTGACGGGGGGACGGGGGCTGCAGTTTGGCACTCGGTTCTGTTGACTGCTTGTATACTGGTAGGGAAACACTGGAAACACTAAATTCAAAAAGCGTTCAATATAAAAATAGTGTTTTACCCATGGGAGTTTAAGTGCTCTAGAAAATAAACTTATGAGCCGTTTGTTGTTGTTTTCCCTGTGCCTGTATCACCATGACACTTCTGTCACCATTCAATTATGATCTGGTGCTGAATGATTATTAACTAAGAGGAATTTGTAAATGGTATCAAAGAAAAACAACTTTTGAAAGAACCTTTAGTCAAACTAAAAACATATTTCGACATGTTCGACACACCATGAGTATTTTAGCATTAGGTTAAGATGGGTGGGAAAAGAAAATAATATAAATTGAAAATGTTATTTTTCTCACCTCCCAATTTATATAATTCCTTCACACATTACGTGACAAACGTTATTTCTACTGTTTTTCTATTTAACATCTGAAGAGCTTCCATGTCTATATCCATTACGATTCCACATGAATATGTTTAATTGGTTATTTGAATACATTTTGTTTTTGAAGCACAAAGATGACAAAATAAACACAAACTCAAGTTCGTTAGATTGTGTCTGCCTCCATAAATTATGAGATTTCTATGAGAAACATTTTATGCTTTTCTAATCACCTTGTAAATATACATAAAAAATAACTCTTCCTCATGAGTTAAAAACTTGCACACAGAAAATACACTGTTGTCTAACAGTGTCTTATAATTTTATGCTGTCATTAGCTTTAAAAGTAGTTTTTTTTTTTGCAAAACAAAGTTTGCCTGCTTATATCACGCTGTGCAAATATTTTTAACCTATCAAATCTCAACATTTGCCATAGACAGATAACGCCAAATCAGCCTGGATGGAAACATTATCACATTATTTAGTGCATGCGAGTCCCATTCTTACATTCAGCTGTGTGAAAAGGTTTTCGGTCACTCTGTTCAACAGACTGACAGTGGGCTTGTCCTTACAGAGCAGCACCAGCTCCAAGTCCAGGTCCCCTTTCAGAAGCAGGCCCTTAGCAACAAGGCCCACTCTCATTACACCACGCAAAGTGCGTGTGGCCAGATCTTTCTGCTCACTTTAGAGGACAAAAGAGACAAAGTACACAAAAGAAACAAATTAGAAGTGGCTACTATTGTTTGTTTTTATCCCAGCAAGAGGAATGACCTCCATGATACCCCCTCACCTCTCCTTGTCAGTGTCTGTGCCATCAGAGTCAGACTTGGTTCCCTTTTCTTCTTTATCAAGCCAGTCGGAGACGGCCTTGAGAGCTCGCTCTGTGTGAGACACCATGTTCTGAACACTTTCCAGCTCCTCTTGAGTTGGGTAGATAGTAGAATGTTTGGCCATGACATGGCGGTCTCCGTTCAAAAAGACACGCATTGATCGGTGGCGGACTGGGGGTACCTAAAGGTGAAAATTAAACAAAATAAGACTTGTTTGCAACAACAAATATATCTCCGTGCTATTGTCTTTTAAAAATAAAAGTACTGACTTTTTTTTAAAATTATTATTTTGAAAAATCAAAATCAAGTTATTAAAGCTAAACATGACTTAATGTAAAAACAAAATTGCAGGTCTTTAATTTATGGGGCATATCCATTAAGTTCAGCCCATGCTACAGATCTGAAAATGTAACAAGGAAAGCCAGGATGAATCAATAAACAGTTTTTACTAATCATGATTTATGCAACTAGGTTGTAATACGCCAGGAAAATATTTGTCATGCTTTAAAGGTTCACATGGTTAAACTCATTGAACTACTTTTACTCTAAATAATTAAAAACACTGGTTAATGTGAGCAACAGAAGCTGTTTTCATGCATGGGCATGCAAAAGCCAATTTAATAGGGTAATGTGGAAGCTGCTGGTTTGTGTTCATAAGGCCTCAGGCACATTGGCATGAAAACATGGCTGGCACCAGTTCTCTGGATTAAAACAGATGGGACATTTACTTGAGCTCTTGACAGTAACATAAAAAGATAAAGTTCAATTACACGCATCTTCATATAAAATCTATGCATGGTCTTTTAATTGTGACCCAAAAATGACACTTAGATTAAAATGTTACCATTATTGTTTTACAATGTGTTGACTGCTTTGTCCAGTGAATATCAAAAAGCCCTTTTCAAAGGAGATGACACTGCTGGTGCACGACTCTCTGAAAGGAAAACAAGAAATGAACGTCACTGCAATGTAAATAAAAACAAAAACAGTCAGCTGAAAATTGAACCAGATCAAATCTGATCAACCGGAGTCAACAACTACAGCTTTATAAAACAGAAATATTGATCCTCAAATTTAACAGATTTTTAATGGATACATGAATTTCCCAGCCTCACGCATGTACCCGACCAGACTTTTTAATATTCAACTTAAGATGGGGCTTTTTTCAGTCGTGGGCCTAAACTTTGTAACCATCTGCCCCCCAGCATTAGACAGGCCACTTCACTTCCTGTTTTGAAAAACATGTTTTCTCTGACTTTTAACCCGTTGTGATTTGATGTTGACCTTTTCTTTTGATGCTTTTAATTAATTTTGTTTTTTCCCTTTAAATTACTGCCATTGTTTTTATTGTTAAGCACTTTGGTAACAAATGCTGTTTTTAAATGTGCTTTATAAATAAATTTGACTTAAGTTTCCCAAAACACATTTTGTAGGCCATGTCAGCACAGAAAGAAGCCAAGTCTTTTGAAATTAGTTTTGAACTTTTAATGCGAAATAAAAAAATTATATTATTTTTTTCCCCATTTCTTTATTCCACATGGTCCAGATGTAAAAATGTCTCTTTTTTTTGTATTTTTACAAATAGATTAAAAAGGTTTGCGGCTCACAAACTGTGTTGTAAGAAGTTTTAGTCAGAAAAATCTAGATGAGGTTTGAACTGTTTGTTAGTAACTGAGGCGTTAATGTGATTTTTTTAAATATAAATTCACAAATATGATTCACAGACCACAAACTGGGTTTTAAAGAAAGTACTTAGTGTAGGATATTGTACTTCTGTGTTTTAAAGTTTTGGAACTAGATATGACGTAAACTATTATTAACCTTTATTCAACAAGGCAAGTCCCATTCAGACCACTTTTGTTAGGCCTGTGCCCGAAACCAACACACATTACGAAAACTGTTAATAATTTTAGCACTGGTTAAAAAAACTAAATAATTTAGATTGTTAAGAGGAGCCTGTGCCCAAACAGTGAACAAGAAATAACTATTTGTGCTCAGTTAAAGATAAGTGTTCATAACTGTAATTGGTTAAGGGATTTAAATTACTATTAACATCTAAATAAAATAAACTATTAACGCATTCCTAATTAAGTACAATACATTTTACAGTGATGTTATGAGGGTGAATGGCAAAGTAGTTCTGAAAAAACTTTTTTTTTTACTGTATATATTAATGCATTGATGTGAATGAATGATTTACTGTAAACCGCATAAACATGATACCGTCCTCGCTTTTAAGTTTCTTTCATAAAGTTCATTCACAAGTCAAAACGGACCTAGAAGTTACCAACAGGGGTTAACCCTCATTGATTAATTTCAGAGAGGAGCAGTCAGTCCCAACCGACATCATCGAGGGAATTTAAAACGGACGCCATTTTATTTCGAGGCAGAGTCCGTGCTAGGAGCTAATGTAGCCAAATAACGTTCGCCTACTTGTTCAAGCTAATGCATAACGACGGCTTTCCAAACCGCTAACACGAAGCACATATTTTGTTTCAGCCACATAGCGTTCGATGAATATTCGAAGCATGGACTTTGAATTGTGCTTTACAGCTGCTGGTTATCATCAGACCCCAAAATGGTCGAGACGAGACCAAGACCCCACCGTCTTCAACAGTTAGCAACATCCGGTTAGCTTCGTCGACGCCGTTGACAAAAGGAAAAACAACGTTTCGCGAACAGGAGAGCCCAGTTTTCGAAAACATCACAACGACATTTATTATTTCTTCTTGAGTTTATCGTTCGTCTAATAATATTAAACATGACTAAGACTAAACGTAATGAAATGACACCGACCTTTGTAGAGCCGCTTACGATCTGCTCTGTCTGCGCACGCTTACCTCAACCTCTGCAGCAACAGCCCAACCAGGACACCCACGAGATGGAAAAGGATGATGTTCATTGGACAAATCATGCACGTGACTGACACCGCAGCCAATAGAAAATAAGAATATAAAATTAAGGGCGGAGCCACGACTCAGTTTTCTTTTTTTTACGTTGAACGTGATCAGTACAGAGAACGCAGTCACATGGAAATATTGCAAAGTAAATAAAATTAGTGCAAGATTTAAAAAGTGTGATGTAAATTTTCTAATTCAGTGGTGTACAAAAATCATACTCTTGAGCAAATTTTAAAAAAGCATAATGAAATTTACATTTAATTGGACTTTCACTTTGCAGGAAGGATTTACATAATATGTTTAATATAATGTCTTACTGTGCTCCTGGAACCTGGAACACCTTGCAACAAGATCTGCAGCTGTCCACTTCGATTTATTTTAAAGGAATTTTAAACATCAGATAAGGTCATTAGAAAAAAACTAAGCAAATATGTTCTTGTTTTTAGTATTTTGCCTTGTTTTAAATGACACTTGATTTTATTGTTTTTATAACACTATTTTTATTTTAATATTATTGTCTGTATTATGTTGTCTTTCTAAAACAGATCTCTCTTGAAAATGAGTCAGTGAAGACGACAAAATATTTTCCTTGAAAAAGCAAATGTGCTGGGGTAATAATCCTTTTTGTCCAGCTACAAAATTACAAGGGTTCAGACGTACAGAATAAAAAACATGTATAAAAAGCCTCAAACATTCATACTGTTTTTTTCCTACTTTACTACTAATGTATAATGGCATGAATCATCCATCCATCCATTATCTTTACCCGCTTATTCCATTTTGGTTCACGGGGGTTGCTGGTGTCCATGTCCAGCAATCACTGTGCGAGGAGCGGGGTACACCCTGGACAGGTCTCCAGTCCATCACAGGGACACATAGAGACAAACGAGACAAACAAACATTCACTCTCTCACTCACACCTAGAGACAATTTAGAGTTACCAATCATCCTAACATGCATGTTTTTGGACTGTGGGAGGAAACCGGAGCACCCGGAGAAAACCCACGCATGCACGGAGAGAACATGCAAACTCCACCCAGAAAGGCCCCTGGACCGGGATTTGAACCAGGGACCTGCTCGCTGAGAGGCAGCAGCTCTACCAGTTGCGCCACCATGGCATGAATCAGTAGTTCCCAAACTTTTCTGCTTCAGAACCACAAAATAAAAGTTGCAGAGACTCATATTTTACTAACAGACTGTGTTGACTAATATTTAATGCCAATGTTAAAATATATATATCAATCAGTGTGTAGTGCTCAGAGTATGTGTTGATGGTGCTCAGCTACTACCACACCCAATTTTAGCTCAATATTTTGAAAAATGGATGAATTAGAACCACTTTTGTGTTTTCGAAGCTGAGGCAGTCATGTTGAACTGGGTTAACTATTAAAAAAAAGCTGTAGAAGTACATCCATTAATTGCGATCTGAAAGTTTCATGAAAATATTTATAATATTTCATGAGATATTTTGCTAACAGACAGAGCACTCCAATAGTTAACAGCAAAGTTTTATAAACAGATCTCACTGTCAGCTCTAATCTAGCTCTCAGCTACTAATACACCAAATTGTATATTATTATTTGTAAAATTGAATACGTTATAGCTATTTTTGAGTTGTCTAAGGCTGCTCAGTCACATAAACCAGCATGAATGTGAGTACCTTCAGATGAGTTATAAATGTCCATCCATTGATTTGTTTTTGAAAGTTTCTTAAGAATTTATCCACTGGCTCTTGTGTTATTATCTAACAGCACAAATAAAAGAACATGTGCCGACATGAGCACAAACATCATCGCCCTATTTGCCTTCAGCAACAGGCAATAACAAGTTTGCCTCCCATGAACGACCTTGATCAATAATTATTAAATACAGTAATTAAAAAGTCATGGCTGAAATATTCCTTTAAATGTGGAGCTGAACTTACAATGAGAGTGAAGAGGGCAAGAAGGACTTGTAATTATTGGCAAGACAGAGGGATCAGGCTGGAAAGGATGTGCAGCAGCTTAGGCTTGTTAGGAATGGTAATGTTCTAAAACAAGTGTGACAGGAAGATGCAAGGAGTATTTGAGGAGCTAATGAATGAAGAGAATGAAAGAGAAAGAAGAGTGGAGGTCAACGGTGGAGCAGGAAGTTGTAAAGTGTGGGACTGTCAGGGGACTTCAGATAAAGGTTTATGGATGGGTGTTTACTCAACAAACTTATGTTGTGTAAAATCTCTGTGGTATGACTCAAATATTTGATGTTACCACTTTAATTGCTCAGCATTTCTTCATATTAAGATCAGTCTTGCTCAGATATGTAATAAAAAAGTGTTTTCTTGTGTTTACTTGACTGATGGAAAGAGGTGTAAACCTTGGCATTCAAGAAAGAGCAAACATTTACTATAAAAGCAGTTTATTACATTTTACAGTACATGCCATTTTCTTGACAGTATCACATTCAGTCAACTTCACTTCAGCCCCATGTAGGGAAAATCGATGCACATGCACAAAGTTACACTCACAACACAAGATCCAGGCCAGCGTTCTTCACGCGGCCCCACACGGGGCGCTCATGTTGTGTTTTTCACATCTTCATGCTGAGGTAAAAGCACAACCTGAAGTCTTTGAGACCGACGCTGATTTTTACTCTGAGTCAGACAACAAAACAAACACTTAATCTGAGATGGTTTTAAAGACCGTTTGAAAAGTCTTCACTGTGGAGAAAATTCATACATTCAAATTTTAATTCAAAAACTCTTATTTACAGTGATGCTTAAGCGTTTTGTGAATCCTTTAGAAATGAACCTTTAAACATTGCTTTAATTTCTTCAAAAATTAGAACCCAACAAAAAAATAAATAAGACAAAAATGACATGAAGCTGGTGCTGAAAAATGAAGTCCTAGTATTCGCATACCTCAAATCAGCTTTGATTGATGGGTTTTCTGGCATAAACTACCGGTAAGTACTTTAGATTCCTTCTCAACATTTATGTGAGATTAAATCTCTTAAAACTGAACTCTGAGACAGATGTCCTCACATTTTCCTTTAAAGTCTGGCAACATGACCAAGAGATTATCAGTGTTTATGATCTGAACAAGCCGTACCCAGCAAGTAGCCAGCAGGCCTGAACAATAACGTTCAGCTGGAGCACTTTATTCCTTATATTTAAACACAACAAATCTCATATAAACTAAAAGGAAGTGCTGTTTTGATCTAATATGGTAAATAGTCCACAACCCATGAAGAGTCTTTTTAACCTCTCCAGGTTCTACAACAGATTTGATCATTCACCCATTCATGCAGTGCTTTTATTTATACATTTTACACAGAGTATTTTTTTATATATTTTCACTCCTACATCCAGGAACGTATGGGTGGGCAGTGCCTTGCCCAAGGACTCTGTCACACTGAAGGGTCTGACCTCTGACCCTCTGAACCAAGCTGCCCCATGTATGTTATCAACATCTTTCTTGTTTCTTTGCGAGATCTTTAAGAAACCGCAGCAGTGCACTCGTTGGACGCTTTTCCTCTTTGTCCCTTTAACACCGTTGTTGTTTTGAATCCCATCGGTCTTTTTGAAGTGACCATTCTTGGTCAGTCCCCTCGTTTGAACGCGGCTTGACGATGAGAGATGGTTTCATACGCTTGACAAACTACTCTGTCTCTGAAAGTTCAGAATCTGTCCATGTTCATGGGGCACCGAGAACGTTTTCAACTGGGTGGCCAGATGGGAGCAACTGATAACCCTGGGGTGCTACATCAGGAGTTTTGCTACGTTGTTGTTAAAAGGTTATTTATAACGTACAGCGCTAAATGTGTTATTTTACTGCTGATATACTGAGAACAGCACAGTCTCTTTTCTTCTTCCTTTCAGACCCATTAAAAGATTCTTTAGCAAGGGTTCAATCCACCACCACCCACAACTCCCACATGGTGGCACCAATTGTTTATGTCGTGATACACCTCCACAAAGTAGGTCAGACTGTGATATATTTCTGTTCTTCAAAATTTGATTTGACACCCTGATTTGTAAAAAAAAAAAGTATTATGACAAGGTCATGTACGTTTGTCAGAACTTTGTTTTTCTTCTTCATTTTTTTAAGATTATATTTTTGTTCCAGTTTCATCCATCCATCATGTTTTACCCGCGCAATCCTTTTCAGGTCGAGGGGGTCACTGGTGCCAATGTCCAACAGTCACTGTGCGAGGGGCGGGGGACACCCTGGACAGGTCTCCAGTCCATCACAGGGACACATAGACAAACAACCGTTCACCTCACACCTAGAGACAATTTAGAGTTACCAATCAGCCTAACATGCATGTTTTTGGTCTGTGGGAGGAAACTGGAGTACCCGGAGAAAACACACATGCATGGAGAGAACATGCAAACTCCACCCAGAAAGGTCCCCGGACGGGATTTGAACCGGCAGCCTTCTTGCTGAGAGGCAACAGCTCTACCAACTATGCCACCTTTGTCTCATTTTTGTGCAGAATAACTATAGACTGGTTTTAAGGGTTTTAAGTAGTTTAGTGTTAAAATGCCGTGGAATCAAAACTTTTTTATTTACCACACAGTATCTTAAATATTTTGAATGACATGCCAGAGAAAGTCAGGGTTTACTTTTGTTAGTAGCATCCAGCAGCAGCTCCTCTTCCCCACCTGTGACTGTCAGTCAGCTGTGTATGAAGAGAGAAATACACAACAGTGCAGTCTAACGAAGCGAGAAGTCGTGGCATGATCGTACTGGGGGCTACGTGCGATCCTTAGTTACAGCATGGCTGTAGACCAGGGATATCAGAGGGGGGGAAATAAATCAACCACAAGCCCAGTGTTTTATTCATTGGTATAATTATCAGAATCTGAGCTTTAAAGATTGTGGTAGTACATTTACCTAGTCTGCTGTGATTACATTAAAGCAGGGGGGTCGGTATTTACCAGCTAACTGAAACATTTCAATCAATATTTTTATTTCTCAGCTGCCCCCTTCTTCAGGGGTCACCACAGTGAACTAACTCGTGCGAAGACTTGGCGGTTGTTGATGTCTCTCCTGACTCAACCACAGACCACCGAGCTACCACAGCCCTCTGTGTGGAGCAGAGAGCTGCTATCTGGGCGCCTGGGGGAGCAGATGGTGGGGGTTAAGGGCCTTGCTCAAGGGCCCAGAGTGGGGCAAATGAGGGTGGAGGCAGATGTGAATGATTCATATTTCCCACCCACATTTTGATGTTGTTGTTGTTCCGGGGAGTTGAACCGACGATCTTCTGATCACAGGCCCACCTTCTCTAACCACTGCGCCACCACTACTTTCTGAAATAACAGCAATACGACTACAAACCTGTTTTATCTATTATATGGGTCAAATAATCCTCATTTGATAAAGTACGGTGAATAAGTAAATGTGATACATTCACTTATTTCTTGTCTAAATACTCAAGTACATGTTATATAAAACTTAAATATTTCAAGAATTAAGAATAAAAAAAATGTAATCTCTAAAAGTGTAAATTATTGCTCTAAGTGCAGTTGTCTACTAACACTACAGCCACACTCTGTTAGACTAAGTAAACATGTAAAACTTCATTACAAGTCCAGTTTTGTATTAGTATAAGTATAGTTTAGTATTAGTGGTGCCAGGTAAGTATTTTTGGCCTATAACTGGACCAGGTTTGGAGAGATCCTCATTACTGAATACTCTTGTCCTGTGTTTTCACAGTATGAATAAAATATGTTTATTGAAGTAAAGATATGGCTGACTCTATGCACACTGCACACACAAGGTGTTAAAATACACATCTTTGACGTGTGACGAGTAGAGTGACAGGTGCACCTAACAAGGTGAAGGCCATACATGTCATCTGTGGTCTGGACCCTCCACCTCTCAACTTTTTCATCTTAAAAAGACCATTACAGCTTTTTCACGGTAATAAAAACAGTCATGGTTTTTCTATCAAAGGGTGACACTTAGTGTTTTTAAGGTCGATCTGTTTGGAAACAAACATGACAGCAAGCTGTAGAGTGAGTGTATAAACATGGCAGCAATAGGCAAAAGCTAATGCTGCGTTCAGTTGACCTTAAAAGTCAGAAATGTTATTTGGGAAAGATGTGACACCTCAGGTAATTATGTTCCAGCTGCAAGTTGGAAGACTAGCAGGGTTGGCTAGTTGTTGTGCTAAGGAACAAGCTAGCTGTTATTAACTGGTGACGTAGTGTTTGGATGGTGTCTGGGACTGATTTAATCATTAACTTGGAACTCAGAAATTTAAAGTATAAAGCATAAATGACCTAGTATAAAGAGGAGGGCACTATAAAATCTGGCTAACTGTCGAGCTAACATTAGCTTGTCAGGTTCTCAGACCAGACAGTAGAGAAGTTATCCTCTGCATAAAAAACACGTTTGATTTTTAAAAAAAATACTGAATATGGCTTTTTCTATTTTTTCTTTTTTCCCTTTCATTTTTGTGTACATTTGTAGAAAAAAAAAATTACAATATATTTTAAAATAGCCCGCTGTCTCTTTGATTTATCAGAGGCAGACTTTACAGTTACTTTCAAAACTTGTGATTATATTCCATTTTGCACTTTGTTTTGTTAAAATATGAATATCTGATGACAGCATATTTAAACTCAGCACCATTAGTGCATGAAATGATTATAAATTACATTATAAACACAGTGACATTCAGCAGACTCACTTGTGATGTCTTGCTCTCCTGATGTGAAGCTGTCCATCCAAATTTAATGAATTTTAAATAAATAACTTTAATATAATCGTCCTTATTTGGGCATCGGTGGTCCCCATGACCCGAAAAGGAAGAAGCGGGTAAAGATAGTGGATGGATGGATGGATGGATGGATGATCCTTACAGCAATATGTGGTAATATTTTGGCATTGATAATAGATGAAGGTGCAGATTTTCAGAATCTCACACCAGCTCATGCCCAATGCAGAAAAGACATTTCTAAAGGATTCACAGACACCTCAGCACATGTGCTCTCACAAGAGAGGCCATATTGCACTCTGATATAAACTATATTAGCAGTTTTCACTGAGTTGAAGCTTTTTTCCTCTTTGGGGTTACATATACTTACATGTAGAAACACCAGAGATGTTCTTTTGAGAGTTTTACAGCTTAAACACTGAGATCTTCACTTCATATCTCCGTTAGGGCAACTCCCCTTCCATATTAAAAAAAAAAACGTCTCTTTGAAAGTAACACCAAGTTTCAGTTCCTCCTCCTTTAAATGGTTTAACAGTTTTTCTCTGTCTTTTGGAGGGAGCCAACGTCCCATCGGACTGAGCGGAAAGTGCTTCCCTTGAAGCTGACCTGCTTTTTGGTGATGCGATAGATTTTTCTGAGGATGGCCCGTCGCAGCAGGATGTAGACCCACGGGTCCAGGATCTGGTTCCAGGTGGCCATTCTGACTCCGGTCATCATGAGCTTGCTGTACATGCAGGTGTCCTCGACACTCTGCTGGGATTTTAAGTAGGAGCGTGTGGCTGACATCAGTCCAAAGACCTGCAAAAAATTATTTACTGTTAGTCTCAACGTACCACATAATTAAAATGATGGAAAATATGTTTAGACAAAAACGTTTTGGTTGGCATTGTTGTTTTTATAGAAACTCAGACATTAACTGCGAACCAGAAATGCACTAAAATCTCTTCAATGTTTCTTTTAAAAGTGTTTAGAAGCTTTGAAAGGATAATTCAGATCTTTCAAAGTAGAGTTTTATGGAAATGTTATGAACAATTAATATCTTACATGTTGTCGATAGCTTTTTTAATTAACCCAGTTCGGAAAATATAGCTTACTTATGGCCAGAATGATGAGTTAACAGCTAGTTTGAACATAGCTATGAGCAAAATGAATTGCTGCATCTTAAAACATCTCCAACCTCCAATTTTACAGCAGTCTACACGAACACTTTTTATAAAAGAAACATTAAAGAAAATGCATTTAAAATGTTATTATTCTGTGGCTTTGAACCTGCAAGACCAGAATAATCGATCATAGATCACTAGATGAGCAATCACAGTGCATTTTATTCCTATGTTCAACAGGCCACCTCAGTCTCTATTTTTAAATCTCTCCTCAAAACACATCTGTACTCATTGGCATTAACACAGTGTGATCTCATTTGGTATTTCGTTGTTGATGATTGTGTTCATCCATTTTGCTTTTACTCCCTGACATTTAACGCAGGGTGATTTGATTTAGTATTTCATTGTTTCTCATTATATTTAATTGTTTTTATGCTTTTATTCACGTTGCTGTAATATGTTGTTATTAATATTTGATGCTGTGATCTTTTTTAGTAAGCACTTTGATAACAGTTACTGTTTTAAATGTGCTATATAAATAAATGTGACTTGACTTGACTATGAATTTTACTTCAACTAAGGAATTAATTTACATTTCTGACATACTACCATGAACCAAAGACAATAATTTTAGCCAAATAATACAAAACAATATTAGTTTCCTAAACGTTTTTTCCTCTTTATTTTTCAACTGAAACCGTTTTATAACCACTACACATAGAACTTTATTATTTGCAGGTGAAGATTGCAGCAGCAACAGCTATCTTTAGCACTACCTGCAGGATTGTTAATGTATTTCTGAGAAAACACTAGTTTAATGCAAAACAGAAAGTAGTGAAAAAGATTCAAAGTACTTCTTGCATGAGTATTTCTGTAACTTTATAGCCTGGAGGTGTTTTAGGAGAGAAGAAATCTGCTTTGGAAGTGACCTCAAGTCAAGCTAACATTATTAGCTCATCATAACGGTTCAAAGGGTGTCACTTAAAAAGTGGAATAGAAGGAAATGTTGTTGGTTTTTAACCTTTTTGTTGTTTGAAATGTCAAATTATACGGTTATTCTGACAAAAATAACCTAATACTCCAGCGGGAAGTGCTCCAGGCTGTTCTAGAAGTAGGTGCTACAGCTAGCTGCTGCTGCTACTTGTGCTCCCATTCTAAATCCACATGTCTAAAAGCAAATTAAGATGTATTGTGAAACTGAAAATAGAATAAAATCAGAATAATATAGCAGGACTCGAATAAAAATAGGAACTTTTAAAATTAGTTTTATTTAAATTGAAAATAAAAATTTTCCAAAATACTCATTTTATGAAGTTACTCCATTTTTTCCACCTAAATAGTGTTTTATTTTTTTCATTTTTTTTTTCATTTAGCCTTTATTTATCCAGGTTAGTCTCATTGAGCCCCGAGAACTCATTTTCAAGAGAGACCTGTTTAGGGAGCAGATGGTGGGGGTTAAGGGCCTTGCTCATGGGCCCAGAGTGGGGCGAATGAGGGTGGGGGCAAGTGTGGGTGTTTCACCTACCCCACCCACAATTTTGATGTTGTCGGGGCGTGAACCGACGATCTTCGGATCACAAGCCCACCTCTCTAGCCTCTGCGCCACCACTCTCCCTTTATTACACGAAAGCTTAATCCAATTTAAACATTTCAATGTTAAAATGTAAAAACATTTCATCCAGTTTGACACATGTAACCAAAAGTACATTGAAATACGTGTTTTTCAACAAGTGCTTTTAATAAAGCCTAAAAATCTTGCTGTAAATCATTTATAAATACAAATTATTTTGCCTGCAGCTGTCCGTAGAGCGCATGCATGATTTTACAGCCATGTTGGGTGTTTCTAATAAAGCTCACTCAGAGCCCTGGATTCAACAAGTTTCAATATTGTGTCTTTCTTGTACATAAACAGCCAAAATGCAGCCGAAAAGCTACGGTTTCACTTAAAAACAATGTTGTGAAAGGCTGAAGATTGCTAGAAAAAGCTAGTTAGTGTGATGTTCTGCAATTTACATTACATTTTACTTATAATGGGTAATTTTGTGATTCTGTCCAAGTTTTCTTATAGGGTAAACCAGTGGGCTCGATAAACCCAAAAAACACTTTTTGTATGAAGTGGTATAAATCCTAGGGTGAAGTTGTTTTAAGACAAAAATAATCCACTTTGATCGTGTCCTTGCTTGAATGAACTCATCAACCTGATCAGAAATGAGTCCATTCAAAGAGCTATCTACAGCAGGTAAGATATTGACCATTCATAACTTTCCCATAGAAACACACTTAAAAATGTCTGACTATAACTGACTGTGGTCATAAATGATTTTTGAGTTCCTATAATATGCTACTTTAAATAATTAGGGCTAGAAGAAACAGGAAATAACTCTTCACTGAATTGTCCAAAGGTCGTTTTCTTAAAACACCATTTTCCATCCTGCAGAACAACAGCTTGTTAAAATGTAACAAAGAAGTTCTTTATTTTCTCTGGCTATTTCTTGTGCTGTCACATTTGTGTGGGTGGTTCATGAAAGGTCTGCAGGGAGCTCCAAAAAACTCCAGTCCACATTTTACTGACAGAATTTGGACAAACTGGCTTTAACACGATTTTCTTGTTGTTGCCTAACTCAGTTCTGAAAATAAACTTTACCTTCAGGTTCAAAGTGTTTTTGGAGTTTAAAACTCTGACAATTGTTTCAAATATCCTCTAGTAGTTTTGTTAGAAATACAACTGGATTGTGTTATTTTTGGGTAAGAAATTTGATTTAAGTGGCATTTTAGCATTGATTTATCACCAAGTCATTAAGCAGACCTTGAGTGTAGAAAATAAATAAAAAAAAAATTTAAAAAAAAATTTTTTCTTGATCTGTTGGACAAAATCATTTTGCTTAGCTGCATTAAATTTGGTTGTTTTTCTTAAATATTTCTACTTTGTTGATATATGTAATGATGTGCATCTACCTCCTTTACTACTTTAAATAAAACTATGTTGTAAAAATTAAACTGATTCTGAATGAGTTAAAGATACTCAAAGTGAATTTAACGATGCAAAGTTAGGATTTTTTTAAATTTCTGTCGACATTTTAGATTTTCTGTTCATTACAAAATAACAAACACAAAAAATATGTTTTTGTTGTTCCTTTAAAGACAACAGATGAATCAGCTTACAGCTAATTCAATGATAAACCAACATCTATATTTATTTTAATAGTTGTTAGAAACATTCTCAAGTGAAAATGGTTCAAAATATTATCACAAACTTGTATCTTTATTTATCATATTTTCATGTTTTGGCATAAATCTACTTTACTGATCACCATAAACTTTTGTTTGTACTTTTATGGATTACAAACTGATAAAAAGTGTTTAAAATGGCTTATTAAAATTATATTCTTATTCTAAAAGTCTAAATAATTTAAAAGAAACTTCTTCCTTTTTTGTTTTGTTTTCATTTTATTTTCTGAAAAATTTAATTTTTGGACATATTTTGAAAAACAAATACCAGAATTATAAATTATAAAATTCTATTATACCATTTTTTATATAAATTCAAATAAACATGTAAAAATTGTTTAATCACCTTGCATTGTTTATTATTAATAATAAGCAATCAGTTCATTAGTTATATATATATATATATATATATATATTAAACAAATAAATTGCTTATTAATTTGCAGTCCTGAGCAGAAGTTTAAGGACAATGAAAGCGTTAGAAGGTTCCTTCTCTTCAGACTCACCAGCAGAGGGCTCCAGCAGATGCATGAGGTGACCATGATGCCCACCAGCTGGACCACCATCTCTGTGTCATGAGACCTGGCCGAGAAGCGCTGGGAGCTGGACTTCTTCTTCATCCTGGTTTTGATGAGCGTGATCCCGCTGATGGTGTTGCACACAAAGGCCAGAGCCAGAGAGCTGAACGCCAGGCCAGAGAAGAGCATCACGAAGGCCAGATCTGTGGACTTCGTGTCCTTCATCACCCGGATGAAGCACCATGTCCATGGGTACTGGTACGTGTAGTCACCCAGGTGGAAGAAAGGCAGCAGGGCCACACAGAGAGCCAGGAACCAGATCATGGAGAGGGCTATTTTGGTCCTCGCTGTGGTCACCAGGCGGGCGTGCAGCAGCGGCTTGGTGACGCCCAGGCACCGCTCAGCAGCCATGGCACAGCCCAGGAAGAGTGGGCACAGGCCGAAAAACACCAAGCAGCCCCCCAGAAACTGACAGGGGGCGTCAGGGTTCGCAGGGTCACCCTTAAACGTGTAATTGCTCTTAGAGCTCGCCGTGTACCTCCTCAGCACCAGCGCTCCAGAGACGACATGCCCCGCCAGATCTGTGGCCACAAGGGAGCTGGCGAAGAGCAGAAAGGTGGCCTTGGACCTCCGGCGAAAGCGGTTGTAGGCTTTGACGAGGATGATGAGAGCCACGATGTTGAAGACGATGCCCAGAGTCATGTTGAGGCTCGCGGACGCCGGGTTCTGAGACGTGCCGTTATGTGGACAATGCATGTCGGGCTCCATGACGGTTCGTTTAGAGGAGGCCTGGACGCCCGAGGCTGTGAGGGGCTGCATCGCCAGCATCACAGCTGCACTCTGGGCCAGATGTCCTTTCTTCTGATGAGACGGCGCTGAAACGAGGAGGAAATGAGCAGATTAGAATAATAAAATTATTCAGGGGTCCAATTTCATTAACCAAGACCCTTTTCTGCAGAAAAACAAATTTCAATCCATAATGGAGGATGAGACCCAAATATCTTGATAATAATTAGCAGCAGAAACAGAAAACATCAAAGAACAAAACAAACACCAGCAAATAGAAATGAGCTGCAAAATAAGTTTTCTTTAATCAGTCATCAAGAAAAACGTCGTTATATTAAAAATGGTCAAATAAACACAACTCAATGTGAATAGCATCGTATGAGTGTTCTGGTCATGTTAGTATTTTTCCACGTAGGAAGAAGAACATTACACGCCGTAGATTTCCAGAAACGCAACAAAGAAATGTGAGCATGACACAAGCCCCTGAGGAGCTCCACAGCTCAGACCTCGTCGTCCAAAGTTCAGACAGGTCACAGAAAGTTGCTCCCTACCTGACAGAACTGGCTTTTTGACATATTTAGTTTTTACTTTCACACATTCACTGTTTCAGAGTCAGATTTTACCTCCGACTGTTCAGCTCGTTGTGTTTCTCTAACGCCGAGTCTTTTGTCCCCTCCTGTAACGTCTTACAGATTTACGACTTACAGTTTTCTCCAAGATCTCACGCGAGTGCAGCGTGTGCACACCCTACATCTCTTTAACTTCTGTTTTATCAAAGCTCAGAACAACTTATCATTTTGCCGACATTAAACAGCGTAAACATTTAAAAACCGACGTGTGACAGCCTTTTCTGGCACCAACGGTTCAGGAACTATTTTGTATATTTAATTAAGTTATAGCTTTTGCGCAAACATTGTTTGTCTAAAGCTTCTAACTAAATTGCTCAGAGGGGCAGACATCCATCAGTTATTGTCATTAAGTTTGTTTTACGGTTTAAAATCTGGTTTTATTTCAAAATGGACCCACTGGTGGGCCGAACTGAGCTCACCTGTGGACCTGATTTGGCCCCCGGACCGCCACTTGAATAGCCCTGCTCTACTCTGTTTGGCTCTGTTTGTCTTTCGATGATAGCTGTCAAGCTGTAGGAGACACAGGTTAGTGGTTACCATGGCGACACTACTGCGTTGCTGGCATCAGCTTTGACTTTTTTTTTTGTTTTGGTTCTCTTCGGCCTTCAACATATTTTTTTTAAACATCACCTGCTTTAATGAGGTTAATTATGTCCAGGTTTACCATCTGAAAGGCTAAAACACACCTGGAGGTGACCCCGCCCCCCCAGCTATCATCTCACCTGCTCTTTATTTGTGATTACCTGTCGTGTTTTCAGAGACCTACGATGAAATCCCCTCATAAATCCCTAATCAGGATTATCCCTGTGAAATAAATAAATTAATTAAATAAATCACTGTAATGCTTCTTTAACTGATACGTGCTGCTGATTAGCCATGCTGCTGATCTCGTGCTGCTGATTATTTCATGCTGCTGTTGTTCGGCGCATTGTTTCTTTTTTTATCGTATTCTTAGTTTGTATCTTAGACCCTTATTACTGTTTCTTTTACAATTTATGTTCTTCTTGTTGTTGGATGTAGCTGGATCTTGAGTACACCGTTTCGTTCCACCTCATGTACCACATGTGATGCGAACGACAAGAACCTTGAATCCTTGAATGACCTGTCTTCCTTCTCGCCCTGAGGAGAGCGTTGCCCTGCAGGACCAGCGAGCCAGCATTATCCCTGCGCTCAGTTTCAGATTGCAGGCGAAGCCACATTTTGTTTTACATTTTAAAGCAAACTGTCTTGTGAGAGTTCGGCGGACGGGAGTTTTCTCTTCCTGCGAGGGAGAGGAGGGAATCCTGAACAAGTCCTGACAGCGGCTGCTGAGCACCAATGCATTCCTGTAAAACTCAGCTAAAGAGCCGCAGCAGGCGACAGCAGGATCCCTGCGTCAAATACAACAAACTCTCTGCTTAAACACACCTATTACACATTTATTCACAACAAACTAATCAACACATCTAATCTGATCACATTGAACATCTTCAGTTTGAGTTGATGTGTCAATTTTAACACCCAAAACTACTTTTTTTTAAATTATCACCATATAAATGAGTTGAACTGTTTATTTTTATGTTTTACTTTAATTAATAATGTTATTCTAGATGTCTTATCTGATCATTAGTAGATTTTTATTTTTATTTGTATAAAAATGGTGATAATTAATATTATTATGAACATGATCAGAACTAAAGTGATAGATATTTACTGTGTCAGTCACTAGAACATTTTTACAGCTCCTACTTTATTTTATACCACATGTTGAATGTCCTTAAATAATATTTCCATCAACGAGTAGCTTATCTTTATTATTTGGCATTGAAAATATTTTTCCATAAGCCTCAAAAGATAAATCATATTTGTAAAATATCTTATAAAAAGTCTTTTAAAAAGGTATTTTACTTACCGCTGAAGCTCCATGGAGTTGATCAGGGTCACCCAGATTTTGATAAGTTGTGTTGCTGGATGTTTTTTTTTAAATAATTTAATCCAGATGTTTGTTCTCTACATGTGTTGTTTCAGATCAACACAAGCTGTTTTCCTGCAGAGACTCCCTGTCATGCAGCTTGAAGACCACAGAGAAACTCCTGTCTCCAGCCGAGCAGCCTCCCTGCACGTAGCTCAACATGTTCTCTGAGCCTCTGAGGCTGCTCGGCTTTTATACTCCGCCGTGCACTGAGCGCACGCTGCCTCTGGGCGTCCCAGCACTGGAAACCAGAGATTTCCTCCAGGCAGAAACACTGAATGGGCCACTCAGAGACAGATGAGTTCAAACTCAGCGACTTCTGGCTTCATCTTACCAATAATTGAGGGATAAATGGGCTTCAGATTTTAGGCCATTAATGCTGGAGGGAGACAAACAGCCTGAGTGATAAAAGTTTAGACAGGCTGGAAATAACACAAACTACACCGACTTTTATCTGACTGCTGACATTCCACGTTGTTTCATGTTTATTCTCGTTAAATCTCCACTTCTGTCAAAAGCCTGATGATTCGTTTAAAAAGATGGAATGAGAAAAATCAGCAATGACAATAAAAAAAAAGTAGTGATCAAAGTTTTTTCAAACCGATGATGTCACCTGTTGATCGTCAGTCGGATGAATCAGGACACATCGTGGTTCCAGACGAATGATACAAGAACAAGCGGTCGCAATGAACATCTGTAGTTTTCAGTATGAGTGTTTTTCTGGACTGGAATTAGGGAGTGCAAGTAAACCTTAATGTTTTTGGTGCAAGATATTCAAGCGGGTGGGAGTTCAAGTTCAAGGTTCTTTATTGTCATTCGCATGCGGTACATGAGGTGGAACGAAATTGTGCACACGGGGTCCCGGTTATAATAGCAAAAATATAAGAAACAGTATGCAATAATCTAAGATATAAATTAAGATACACGCTAAACACTAATAATATAAAACAATACAGTGTATTAAACAGCAGCCTGAACATGAGCCTGTAGTGAGTATGTTGTATGTGAAGTACGTGAATGTTTCTGTAAAGTGCCTGAGACAACTTTGTTGTGAACTGATGCTATATAAATAAAATAAATTGAATTGGTTGAGGCAGCGCCGTGATGAATCCTGGTGAGTGAAGGGAGCAATTTAAAGCACCACAAGGTGCAGGGACGGAGCCAAGAGGGGGCCAATGGTGGCCTTGGCTACCATACCGCAGAATAACCTTCAGCCACCCCAAGAATCTCCCCAATCATTTGAGGAAACTATACTGTTAAGCAATATAAAAAGTAGAAAGCATAGTTTCCTCAAATATTTGGGGTGGTCAGTTTACATACTGTATTTTCCGCTGTACATGTTGTTCCGCTCTATAAGTCGCATCAGTCCATATTTGTCTAATAACGTGGAAAAATCCATAAATATGTTGCTTCACCGTATACGTTGCATTTATTATGCGTCACCGCTGACGCATCGTGTTTGTTACGCCATCTTGGATTTTGACGTGGAAACCCAATTTTCAAAAGGAACTTCTGTCATGCCTGTAGCCGCACACAAAAATGGAAATACATCATTTATGTTTTAAGTTATCGTGCTCAAAACACTTGCAAACATGACAAAGGGTATTTACAATTTCCCCTCTTTGCTCTGCGACAGGAGACAATAATTCAGACTTTTCACTACAAGTCCCAATATCAGACCAATATTGTAAAACACATGTTGCATTCAAGAATGCATCTTCTGGGGGCATTCATGCATTTTCAACAAGACATGAATCCTGCAGTTCTTACGAGCCAATGAGACCCAACCTGGACCACCAGAGCTCAAGTCCAATCAAGTTTTTGTCAAGAACTTGTAGAGAACAGACTCATCAGGTCTACATGGTGGATAGCTCCATGGAAATATTCCAACCATGTTCTGAACTCTGATGTTGATGGACCCAAGGGGTCTTTACCAAGATCCTGTTTGTGTTGTTGGAACATATTCCTTGTTTATTTGCAGGTTTTGTTCTGGTGTACGTAAATATATTTGGATGTTGTGATGATCTGGTTTCTGTCTTGGTGGTTTAAACTGTATTTGTGTGAACAATACAAACGTGCACAGATGTGGGTAAATATACAGACAAAGTTGTTTCTATCCTTCTGATAAAGAAAGATAAACCTATCATGGTCCCTGAAATTATTTGAAACTGAAAAAGTGATGACAATTTAAAAAAAAAAAAAAGAAGCCTAAAAATCAACTAATGAAAATCAGTCATTGCTTTCAAACTTGGTTAAGCAGAATTATAATAAAACTAATGAAGGCGGCCTTGACAAAAAGGATAGTACCCCTACTAAAGATAATATTGTTTAGTTTTATTCGTTCCCTTCTTCGGGGGTCGCCACAGCGAGCAAACTCACATGAAGGTTGGGCAACTGGTTTTGTGCCCCATGAAATGAGTGCCCAGGGAAGCATATACGGGGGTTAAGGGCCCAGAGTGCAG